TCTACATTCCAGCAGCACAGGTCTGAGTTTTTACATGTTGGTGATGATGTAAACGTGAGTGTGTGCTTTATGGCAACATTGATTTTAGGTGCAGGTGACTCAGCTGTAACTGTATTAACCCCAGGGGTGGAAAGAGTACTAAAATTTCCTACTTAAGTACGAGTACCAGTACTTTGATAATTTTTTACTCAAGTACAAGTAAAAGTACTTGCCTGAATTTTTACTCATGTAAAGATGGTTACATCAGTGCAAAACAACACCAGTTCACAACACACTCGTGTGTGCACGCACACGCACGGACACACACACAGTTTGATGGAGGAATTTCTATCCAATCAGTGACAACAGGACGTGCACATTGATTGGACAAGGTTTTTCTAGGCTTGTACGTTTCAATTGTGATTAAAATTATTCTTTATTTTGAAAAAAAAATGTTAATTTTTAGATGCCATCAGTATGTGAGGTATCTCAATGTTCTCATGACAAAACTCTAACATGAGACTGTGCTCTAACCTGTCACAAAACAAGCTAAATGTAAGTCAAACATTTCAAATGGACCGTATGACAGCTGTTAACGTTGGCCCTGCCCTACTTTACCTCTACATTACAGTTCCTTTATCCATGTCCATCCTAGAGCTCCTCACTGACCTTCATGCTTATTTAGAGCAGCTGATTTTTAAAGTTAGCAGAGTTCATCCTTGGTAGTGGGTTCATTCACTCATTTAAAGATATCGGCCAGAGGCAAAATTCATTTGAACAGCATGTGTAAATGTGTATTAAAACCTTAGATGAAAAAGGTTCTTGGATTTTGACGCTGGAATTGTAAGAAAATCTGATGTTTGTGACTGGCGTGGGAAAAACAGAAACTAACTTCCGGTCTAAGCCCTGGGCAGCTGGTGATGTTTCACATGGAGCTCTGCTGAAACAGCTGTAGTAAACAATGCCTGATTAGTCATTCCACCCCCATTGCACCCCCAAGTAAATATTAGATTTTTTTTTTACAATTTCATTTTAATTTAACGTGTGGATGTGATAATATTTAACATACAAAACAAAAATAATCAGTTAATTATCATATAGATAGTAAAAACTTAAACCAAAACAGGAAATTGATGTTAACCTTTGACCTCATTTTCCACCTGCGAACGAGTGAAAGGTAGAACTAGTGGTGAAATGGATCGGTTTTTGTTGCCCAAATTTCCACAGGTTCAGTCAGAAACAAATGAATCTTTGGAAGTGATCTCAGACCCACAAAAACCTATGGATCTGGGTTAATTCAATTCAGTTCAGTAAAAATTCAATTGAAATTCAATTCAAAGATACTTTATTAATCCCAGAGGGAAATTAGAGTTTCAGTACACACAATTCTGAGATCAGACATCCACTCAACAAAAATACAAATGCAACACCTTTGTTTCTGCTCCAATTTTTCATGAGATGGACTTAAAGATCTAAAATTCATTCCAGATACACAATACTACCATTTCTCTCAAACATTGTTCACAAATCAGTCTAAATGTGTGATAGTGAGCACCTGTGCTTTGCTGAGATAATCCATCCCACCTCACAGGTGTGCCACATCAAGATGCTGATCTGACATCATGAGTAGTGCACAGGTGTACCTTATTCTGCCCACAATAAAAGGCCACCCTGGAATGGGCAGTTTTTTGCTTTATTGGGGGTCTGGGGACTCAGAACCGGTCAGTATCTGGTGTGACCACTATTTGCCTCATGCAGTGCAACACATCTATTTCACATAGAGTTTATCAGATTGTCAATTGTGGCCTGTGGAATGTTGGTCCACTCCTCTTCAATGGCTGTGCGAAGTTGTGGGATATTAGAGGAAACTGGTACACGCTGTTGTATACGCCGGTCAAGCACATCCCAAACATGCTCAACGGGTGACATGTCCGGTGAGTATGCTGACCATGCAAGAACTGGGACATTTTTAGCTTCCAAGAATTGTGTACAGATCCTTGCAACATGGGGCCATGCATTATCTTGCTGAAACATGAGGTGATGTTCATGGATGTACGGCACAACAATGGGCCTCAGGATCTCATCACGGTATCTCTGTGCATTCAAAATGCCATCAATGAAATGCACCTGTGTTCTTCGTCCATAACAGATGCCTGCCCATACCATCACCCCACCACCACCATGGGCCACTCGATCCACAACATTGACACCAGCAAAGCGCTCACCCACACGACGCCACACACGCTGTCTGCCATCTGCCCTGAACAATGTAAACCGAGATTCATCCGTGAAGAGAACACCTCTCCAGACACCATAGAATGTGAGCATTTGCCCACTCAAGTCTGTTACGGCGACGAGCTGGAGTCAGGTCAAGACCCCGATGAGGACGATGAGCATGCAGTTGAGCTTCCCTGAGACGGTTTCTGGCAGTTTGTGCAGAAATTGTTTGGTTATGCTGTCTGAGTGGCTGGTCTCAGACGATCTTGGAGGTGAACCTACTGGATGTGGAGGTCTTGGGGTGGTGTGGTTACACGTTGTCTGCGGTTGTGAGGCCGGTTGGATGTACTGCCATATTCTCTGAAACGCCTTTGGAGACGGCTTATGGTGGAGAAATGAACATTCAATGCACGAGCAACATATCTGGTTGACATCCCTGCTGTCAGCATACCAATTGCACGCTCCCTCAATGCTGGTGGCATCTGTGGTTTTGCTGTGAGACAACCCTATACAACATGCAGTACACACAGCTGCACGCAATCTTCGCTTCATAAATTGGAGACTAACGAGAATGTTTCGCAGCTGCATTTTAGTCACATCCCGCTCTCACCACCCCCACTTACTGCCATAAATAGTCAATGCAAAGTGCCTTGTGTGAGTGTGTGCACGTATGTGTGTGCGTACGCGTGTGTGTGCGTGTGGGGGGTCTTGTTCTGTGTGAAAACGAAGCAGTACAAGTGATAATGCTGCAGGATTTCATAATTGTATCCTTCTCAGCAGCAGCACTGCAGGTGCTCTCCATGTCCAACATGTGTGTAAGCCAGGTCCTTAGTCAACTTAAAGTTGTGCAAATTTTTCTGCTAAGTTTTCTTTCATAAATCTCAAAGTTTGCGTGGAAAGTTGCTTACGCAGTTTTCCGACCCAGTTTTGTGCGTAAGCAAGCTTGATAAATGAGGCCCCTGGTTATTAATTTATTCTGCAAATCCTTCATTTTTCTCAGTTCTTTACAGTTTTCTTTTCATAGCTTTGTTTTTTGTTTGGCTTTCTTCTTTTTCTTTTCGACTCATTGAATGCTTTTACAGGTACCACCACAGAACCCTGATCCAGACAAGAACTACAGCAGAACCAAGGTCCTGAACCTGTTGCTGCAGGCTAGTGGTTCAGAACTTCTTCTCAGGTTCCTTTGAAGATCAATCCATCCATCCATTTTCTATACCCACTTGCCCACGCAGTGTCTCGGGGAGCTGGAGCCAGCAGTCTTCAGGCCAACATGCGGGGTACATTCTGGACAAGATGCAGGATACGAAAGAGACACACAGGGCAGACAACCAGTCACACACACACACACTCACACCTAAGTACAATTTACAGAAATCAGTCAATTTTTGGATGGTGGGAGGAAGCTGGGGTAGCTGGAGAGAACCCAGGCATGCACAGAAAGAACATGCAAACTCAGTTCAAAACCTGGACCTTCTTGCTGCAAGGCAACAGCGATAACCACAGCACCACTGTGCACCCCTTCCTTTGGAGATAAATCTTCTAAAAGATTTTTGGTAGAAAAATAAAATGCCTCTGATGCCTTTAATTTTCTTTAAATCTCATGATTTTCAACTTTTATCACAAAATGATTCAAACTTCAAAAATATTAACAATAATGTCAGGATCATTTCTCTCTTTTAAAATGAATTTATTTCATTAACCAGAATAATAAAACCAACAAGTCAAAAAAATAATTCTACATCATGATGGATTTTTATGTTTTATGGCAAAAAATTCTCCAGGAAATTTTTATTATGAAAACATCTAGTTAATGAGTTCACAGAGTAGATGAAATTATTATTAGAGGAAGACTTTAAAGATAAACATGATTGTTTTTTTTTGTTGTTTTTTTTTATTATCTTTATTTCATTCAAAAAAAATAACACAACAGATACTAAACAATATTCATGAAAACACAATATATATTTGAATGAAAGGGAGCAGATAGAAGAAAAATCTTATTATTTCTGCCCCCTTTTTAAACTTAAATATCAATTTATATTTGTGCAGTCCCTCACCAGTTCTTTCAGTCCCGTAACTGTTCACATTTGTTAATTATTATGTCCACATCAATTGTCCATTGTCATATCCACTCAACACACGTGATTTAATGTGTAGACTGAACACTTTTAGAGTTCTTGACTCTTTCCATTCTCTGTCCAGGCAATTCCACAACTTCACACCATTCACAGATATGCACATTTCCTTCATTCTTGTTCTAAATCTAGGTTTTTTGAAGATTTCAAATCCCTTCAACGAATAACTGCTATCTCTCTTTTCAAATATATGCTGAATATTCTTTGGCAATGTACCTTTATTTGCTTCATACATTGTATGCAATATTCTCCAGTTGACCAAATCATGAAATTTAATTACTTTATATTTTATAAATAATGGGTTAGATGGAGCTGTACTATGAGTGTTGTCTATAATTCTCATTGCTCTTTTCTGCAAAACAAACAAAGGTTGTGTATACGTTCTATATGCAGTTCCCCAGATTTCTACACAATAATTTAAGTATGGCAGAGTCAGTGCATTGTATAGTAATAACAATCCTTCACTATTTAGTAAAAACTTTACGCTATATAATACTGCAATGGCTTTGGCCATTTTACCTTTTATATAGCCTATATGTGATTTCGAGCTTAGAGCTTCATCAATCATTACTCCCAAAAATTTGATTTCTTTTACCCTTTGAATTTCCATGTTATCTATTTCTAATATTATGTCTATATTTTCTTTATCATTAAATAGAATGAAATTAGTTTTTTTAAGATTAAGTGTTAATTTATTTATATGAAACCAGTTTTTAACTTTTATCAGTTCAGTATTTATCACATGAGTTACTTCATTTATATCAGACCCTGAATAAAACAATGTTGTATCATCTGCAAACAAAACAGAACCTAGTTTGTCAGACACATTTACCAAATCATTGATATACAGGTTGAACAATTTTGGTCCAAGGACTGACCCTTGTGGCACTCCATAAGCAATATTTCGTAGCTCTGATGTAATGCCATTTATCTGAACATATTGCTTTCTGTTGTCTAAATAACTTATAACCCATTGATGAGCAACCCCTCGTATTCCATACTGATATAATTTTTGCAGTAACCTTGAATGATCGATAACGTCAAAAGCTTTCTTTAAGTCAATAAAAACACTAATAAAGTATTCTCTATTGTCTATCGCTTCAGATATTTTCTCTGTTAAATCCATTATTGCCATTGTTGTTGCATGTTGGGTCCTGAATCCATACTGTTCATTATGTAAAATCATATTTTTTTCAATAAATTTATCCAAACGTGATGCAAAGACTTTTTCTAGTATTTTGGAAAACTGTGGAAGTAGTGACACTGGCCTATAATTTGTGAAATTATGTTTATCACCATTCTTAAACAGTGGAACCACTTTTGCTATTTTCATAGCATCAGGGAAGACTCCAGTAGAAAGTGACAAATTACAAATATAAGTAAAAGGATCAATAACAGATTCTATTATGGTATTTACAGTCATCATGTCCAAATCCTCACAATCAGTTGATCGCTTATTTCCAGTTTTTTACAATTTCTCGTATTTCCTCTTTTTCTACTTTGCCAAGGAAAATACTACTGACATTATTTACTACTGTATTCAAATTTTCTTCAATTAAAGTGTCATGACCCATCAAACTCCTCCCTACATTTACAAAAAAATCATTGAATTCATTAGAGATTTCTTTTACATCATAAATGTCTACATTGTCCTTGACAAAGTAATTTGGTACCTTAGATGTAGTTTTATTTCTGTTCGTCACACTATTTATTATTCCCCATGTAGCCTTTGTATTAGCCTTATTCTTTTCCAATAATTCACCATAATAATCTTTTTTCCTTTTCCTAATTATTGCTATTAATTTATTTTTATATTTTTTATATCGGTCTTCTGTTACTCTTGTCTGTGATTTAAAAAAATTCCTATACAGCTGGTTTCTTTTTTTGCACATGCATTTCTTATTCCTTTAGTCATCCATGGTTGATCTACCCTTTTACCACTACTTTTGAATAATTTACAGTTATTATTATATAATTTCATCAATTTTTTCATGAAGGACTTATATGCAGTGTTGACATCCCTTACATATACTTCCTCCCAATTCTGCATTTCAAGATCCTTCTTTAGCGCTTCCCATGCTCTAAATGATCTATCTCGTTTGTAATTTAATGAGGTTTCTTGCTTTATCAATTGTTTATTTTTCAGTACTGCAAAGACAGGCAGATGATCACTAATATCGGCCATCAATACCCCACTCCTCAATACATCATCTTTTTTATTTGTAAAAATATTATCAATTATAGTAGCACTATGTGCTGTGATCCTGGTTGGTTTGGTGATTAACGGAAATAATCCTAAACTGTACATAGAATTGATGAAATCATTTGTTTTCTGTCCAGCAGGCTGCTCTATATTAATATTAAAGTCTCCACACAAGAGCAAGGTTTTGTTCTTTATGTGATCGCCCAATTCACTGATTCTTTCAGTGAATGTCTTAATACAAGCACCAGGTGCTCTATAAACACAACCAACCAGGATATTTTTTGATGTATTATTATTAATTTCCACAGTTATTACTTCCATGACCCCATCCTCAATCATTGTCATGTCTTCAACTAATTTACATTTCAAATCTGTTCTAATAAACAAAGCTACCCCACCTCCTCTTTTGTATGTTCTATTAGCAAAAAAAAAAGCTCATATCCCTCTATCTGAACTTCATCCATCATGTCATTCTTGAGCCATGTCTCTGTTATTGCAATCACACTTAATTTATTTTCGAGTTTACTGAAATAATCTTGTATTATTTGTAATTTACCAAACAAACTTCTACTGTTGATGTGAATAATTGATAGCCTATCTCCTGTAATTATTTCACTGTTCAATTTTTCATGTTTAAAGATCAAAAGAACTGAAAACATCATAAAGTCGTGATTCTGTTTCATATATAAGAGAAAAATGTGGACTTGTTTCTGAGGACGTCTCCAAGCTCATCTCTCCACCAGCAGGACTTCAACTACAGAGTCACTCAGATCAGAACTTTTAACAAACAGACTTTTTGTTCACGGAGCTTCATGAGAGAAAAGATTAGACTGATGGATCAACAGGACAGATGATCAGAGGAGCTGAGTTTTTACCTCCAGCATTAAGACCAGGATAGAAGTACGGGTGGAGTTTATCAGAGAAGCAGCAGCCAGTAAAGGAGTAGATCAGAGCTGCAGCTCCTACATCATAAAAGGAGACCAGACCCTCCTCATAATCCACAAACACCCCCACCTTCTCAGGACCAGAATCAACATGGAGATCTACTGAAGGATCAGCATAAGCTTTGTACTGATTTCCATTTTCCAAACAAACAATCCACAAACCATTTAGAGGACTCAGTGTGACTTCTCCCTTCCTGTTGATGGACCTTCTGGCCACTCCTAAATCCCAGTCAGTTTTTCCTTTAACCTGAACCTCAAAGTAAAATCTGCCTGAAGAGAAACTCTGTTTCCCTAAAACACTCGCACATGGAGAAAATCTCTCTGGGCAGTTATCATCATCATAATCATCATAATCACCATAATAATAATCATCATCATAACCATCATGATCATCATAATCATCATGATCATTGTCATCATCATCATCATCATCACGACCACCACCATCACCACAGTAAACTTGTTTTCCATCAGCAGACAGGATGAGGTGAGGGTTTGCCGTATCAGGATCAAGAGTCACATCTACTGCAGACTTCTGGATCCTCTTCAGCTCAGCCTCCATCAGGTTCTTCATCTTCTTCCTGAGTTTCTCCTCCAGCTGCTCCACAGCTCTCACCACAGTCCCCTCATATGATGGAGGATGAACTCTGACCTCTGTCCAGTCCTTGGTGGGTGGAGCAGCTTTCAGGGAGCTGAAGCTCTGGAGGAGGTGGAGGTGGTCTTCAGAGCATGAAAGCTGCTTCACTTCAGAGCTCCTCTTCATCAGCTCAGAGATCTCCTGTTCCAGATCTTTGATGAAGCCTTCAGCCCGTTTCTCTGTAGTTTTCTGATTGTCTTCGATCTCCTTTATGAGCTCCTTCAGGCTTCTCTCAACAGACTCCTTCAGATCAGTGAAGACCTGAACACCTTCTGCTTTCTGTCTGTCTGCAGCATCTTTACTGATCTTCAGCGACTCTTTGATCTCCTGAATCTTCAGTCGTCTGTTCTGGATCATCTGCTGAACTTCAGCCTCTATCTTCTCCAGCTCTGCCTTCTTTCCTTCACATTCTTCTCTCAGAGGAACAAACTCATGAGTCTGGTGGTCTAAAACAGGACAGACCAAGCAGACACACGTCTGGTCGGTTCTACAGAACAGCTCCAGAGGTTTATCGTGCTTCTGACACATCCTGTCCTCCAGGTTCTCCACAGGATCCACCAGCTGATGTCTTTTCACATATGAAGCTGTCAGGTGAGGCTCCAGGTGAGTCTCACAGTAGGAGAGCAGACACACCAGGCAGGACTTCAGGGCCTTCAGTCTGGTTCCAGTGCAGACGTCACAGGGAACTTCTCCTGGTTGGGCAGCTTGTTGCTCTGAGCTGCTGCTGGTTTTCTGTTCAGCTTCGTGTCTGAACTGATCAACCATCTCTCTGATGAAGGTGTTGACTTCCAGTTCAGGTCTGGTCTTGAACACCTTTTTACAGACGGGACACTGGCAGCTCCTGTCCCCATCCCAGTGTGTGGTGATGCAGGTCTTACAGAAGTTGTGTCCACATGATGTGCTGACTGGATCAGTGAACACATCCAGACAGATGGAGCACAGAAACGGATCCTCAGATCTCCGGCTGCTGCCAGCAGACATGTCTGAACTCTGAGAACAAGAGTCAGAGAGGAACAACTACAGATTAAAGCAGATGGAATCAGTTTAATATTACTGTTATTAAAATTTTTTGGTTTCATTTAACTTCAGACTCAAGAGAAAAGACTCAAACTTCCTGTTTGATTGAGTCTGAGTTTAGTTTTCCTGTTGATTGTTGAAACACAGTAAATATGATCAGTTTTACTCACCGATATCTGAGTCAGTTGTTGGAGAAGACAAGATCAACTCTGTTTAATTCTCCTTCAGACAGAAACACACAAGTTGGTCTCGACTGCAGCTCTGGATCAGTTTCAGTTTCACTTCCGGAAAGTGACGTAGAAACCAGTTTATGCTGCTGGGGGGGGGGGCACTCCGTCCCGTAAGCTTCAGATTTCTAGGATGCCCAAGGAAGATCCCGCCTTTCTCATCTCTGATTGGCTAGAAAGGCTCTGCCACGATTGGCTGTTTCGTTTAGCTGTAAACCAGCTGTCCTCGCTAAGTGCAGACGGTCCTTTTGCCACCAGCAGAAATCCTTTTGGGGTGTTTTGTAAAGAAAATGTGAACTTAGCGCTATAATAACCATTCTGTCCTGTTTTGCCAAACATTTTATGTTTCATAAAAACTGAAAAACGGAATTCATAATCTTGTTGCATTTATCAAACTGTTGGACTTACTGTACTTTATATCTCTCAGCCGCTGACGTCGTTAGGTCCGTTTTAGGGGGGCTTCAGCCCCCCTAAAATAATCACAAGCCCCCCTATCATTTTGAGTTTTTTTATGATTAATTCCTTGCATTTCGAGCACAGCGGAACCTTTGTCATTGCACGACTTCCTCGTAGACCGAATATCACTGACGCACACAACAATGCACAGTGCTAATGGCTACTAAAACGAAATAAAAACGGAAAGAAGTTGCCTTGCTTGGACTGATGCAGGATTTAGGAAACCCGTCCGCCTCTTTTCTTAACTTGAAAAAAACGAACTTCCAGATAACAACGGAGTCCGTGTCGCGGACATTTTTCAGAGATCGTCTCTGCTTCGGCTGCCCGGTGGCACTGGAAACTTTAGAAAAGTTGCGGTAAGCTATTTTTTTTTAACATTTACGTAACATCTGTGCAACACTGAAAGCACCAGACAGAATAATTATGTGCCCTAACAGTGGTTTATGAAAGTAGTCAGACAAACAAGGCATCCCCTTCTTAACGTGACAGCAGAACTTCCCATGTAAGGAAGGTCCGCTCACCTGTTCGTCACATCATTATTTCCTCGCCATGATCTTTTATCATCCCATCAACCTCCAGTCATCCAACTGGAACCAGTTAATGTTCCTGATCATTCTCGGAATATGCCATGCCTGCTCTGGTGTTAAAAGTTAGTACATTTAAGTCCTAGATCATATTTGTGCCTGTTCTACTGTCATTTTGAAGGATTATTATTTATGTGCTTTTACTACATTATGAGTAGAAATGCTAATAAAAACTCCCAGTTATACAAACAAGTGAAACTGGAAAAATTAGAATCTGGAAAAATTTGAATCTGGTGCAAAGTCAAATTTATTTCAGTAATTCAACTAGACAGAGAGACTATTTAAAGGCTCTGGAACCCTTTGCAGGCGTTTTCTATTTGTAATTATAAATTTTAGTTGATTTGGGTCTTGTTTCATATCACACAGTGACATTTGATTAATTAAAATGCATTTTTTATTAAAAGCTTTAGTTTTACAGTAATAACTATGTCTAATGTTTAATTCTCTGTCTCATAATTTTAATTAAGTTTTGCTTTGAGAGCACATTTTCCTGAACGATTAAAATGTGATTAATTTAGATTAATTAATTACAAAGCCTCTAATTAATTAGATTAAAAATTTTCATCAAGTCCCAGCCCTAATTTTTATATATACTGTTATTTTGTCTTGTAATTGTTAATTACATACTCCTTTATTCCATATCACATCAGTGTTATTCATATATTAAAACTGTCAACTGCACACTCATTTGGCAGAATAAAAGTTTGACAATTATTCATTTGTTCTTTGTCATGTTTCAGTAACATTTATAATTAAGCAAGTTGTAATTAAACAAATTAAACAAATGACTGCAACATTTCCCCCTGTTAAGTGCAGTAGACTGAAATGAATAGCTTTATTTGGAAATATAACATATCTAATTTTTAATGGACTTATATAAAATCTTTCTTCAACATAGACCCCACTAATGAACTGATTGTTATTTTTTATAAAACGAAGAGAGAAAATGCACAAAGGTAGGAAAGGAAAAGAAAGTAATAAAATAATAGGTTTTGTTAAATGTTCTTTGAACATTTGAATTGATTGACAACGCTTTTGCAGGGTGTGACAAAAAATGTTCAAGGTCAAGCTCCTGAGGCTAAGCCCCCCCACCCCCCCCCCCACCCACCCCCCCACCCCCACCCCCATCTCTCAATCTTAGTGATGTCCATGCTCTTGGCTCTCAAGCATTAGAGGATAAACAGATGAGTGTCATGATGGCGGGAGGGGCGAAAATCCCTCATCATTGTTGGGGGGGGGGCATTAGACAGTAAACATTTCAGGAGTAATTCCTGAGGGGGACATTAAAAAAGCTTTTATTTCATGTGCTGATGTGTCTTAAATGTCTCATATATTATTAAATAATAGATGTTGTTCTTTATTAGTCCATACATAGTTCAGACTTGTCTACAGGTTTTTGGATGCTCTACCAATAATACTAAGAGTAGTAAAACTAAGAAAGGAAGGTGTCAGTTAACTACACCATAGACGACCTAACAGAATGTATTTGTTCACCATGAACTTTGGTCTGATCTCTACTACAGCAGCTCAACAAGAACTCAAAGCTCTAATCAGTTTTAAATTAGAAAATAAATAATTTAATGAATAACAAAACTACATAATTCTTCAAAAATATGTATTTTTTGAACTGGTAACAAACAACAGCAGCAACAATACTGGTACTTTGTGCCTAATTATACCATTATTAAACATATCCAAAACATATCATTTTTTATATGGACAATAATAACAAATTGCCTTAATATTATTCAAATCTTTCAACTTAAGCCGGGCGGACACTGTGCAACTTTTTCACTTTTTTGAGCAGATTTTCCACTCGTGCGAGAATCCACGACATCGGGGCGAGTTTTGCGCCGAGCGGTCGTGTAGTGTACAGGGGGTTACGAGAGGCGATTAACACCACGTGACCAGCTGCCGATCAGCAGTCGTGAGGTCGCACGGACTTCTGGCGTGTTTAATATTTCGCTCGTCCCTCGTGAGGGTATCGCACTGTTGAAGTGGCGCTGCGAGCAGCTGCGACCCAAAAAGTACCAGAACCGCTCGCGGCGCATACGCAATCCTGCATCAACGCTGCTCGCTCGCTATTTCCCTAATAACACACGCTGTTCGTTTTTGTTTCTACGCGTTTTTTTCCTCACAAAGATTGTCAAGAAAGCGTGTTTGTCGTGTTCATGTCAAATTAAACTGATCACAAAACACAGATTTATTTTCTTTATTTCGTTTTCCTCATCCAACCCCCATAAATCCCTGTGTCCTCCTGCAGCACTCCCAAAGGACAACAGGCAAAACAAGACAAAAAAGTCTGACGTGTTGAGTAAAAACTGCTATTTTTAGCATATTTTTAGGGCCAATGTGTTGCTACCAGACGTACAGTGAGCAGTCAGGTCGCATGCGAGAACTGGGTCGTGCAGTGTGAGCACATGACTCGTGAGATCTGCCCTGCGAGGAAGTCGTACAGTTTGAGCTGAAGCTGAACGCTGCAAGTGAAAAAGTCGCACAGTGTCCGCCCGGCTTTACCGTCATGTTCTGTGTCGCTTTGGTTCCCAGCCCCCTCCTATTCTTCCTCTGCGTTCTCCTCATGTGTCCCCTTGTGCTCTGTGTGCCCCTATGCTTCCTCAGCCCACTCCAGGTTCTCCTCATGTGTCTCCTTGTGTTCCCCAGCTCTCTCTAGGCTTCCCTCATGTTTCCTCCTAGTCACTCCCTTGTAGTTCTCATTGGTTTGTATTAGTCATCCTCTCCCCTCTAGTCATTAGTTGTTATCGTTGCCCTTAGTCTTTAGGTTTAGTTTGTTATAGGTTATGGTTTATCTCCCCCTCTGCTTGTTCTTTCCCCATTTAGTTTATTGATGGCACCTGTCTTCCCTCTAGACTTCACTCCTCACGACTGCTTCCCTCTGTGTTTAAAAACCCTGTCTTGTCCCTCAGTGTTAGTTGGTCCATCGTGTCAGCGCCGTTCTGCCCCTCTCGAGTTTCTCCGAGTCCGTGCGCATGAGTGCGCTTTTGCTTTGTTTTGATCGTTTCAGTGTTTTTGAGAGTAAGTCTGGTTTTTTGTGCCTTTGGACTTTTTGGCGCATCCTCCTTTAAATAAAGGAATTATTTTCTTAAACCACTCCTGCCTCGAGTCGTTCCGGGAATTCTGCATCTTGGGTCCAAACCTCATGCTCTCAACGTGAGACTTACTTGGCGTTTTGGTGTACTGAAAAATGACCTGATGTCTTTCATTTGTCGTTTCTCTGCCATTTTGACCCGACTAGAGGCTGGCAGACAACTGGACAATAACAAGAACACAGGTTTTAGTTTTAGAGGAGGTTCAATACCCAGCTGATAATGTTTATTTGGCCTACATTTAGCTTTTCCTGCTGTAAAAGAAAACTATTTTTGCATAAATGTGTACGTAACAAGTCCAGAACACTGTGAACTTACTATACTGTGTAAAAAAGATGTTTGACTTTAAAATTGATTTAATAAGAGGAAAATATGGAGTGGAAACTACCAGTCAGAATGTTACAAAGTGAATATCTGTTGATCGGAATATCTAAGTCAAAGGTAGAACTATATTTTTTTTAAAAACAAGACAAAATCAGAAATAGAAAATTAGATTTTAAGTAATAATATCCAACATAAATGTCAACATCTGGACAATATCTGACTACAGAAATGTAAAATGACAGTGAAACAAGTTAGTCTAATATTTCTGACATTAATGAGAGGAGCTCCTCCTGGAACCGTCACCTTATCGTGGTGGAGGAGTTTGAGTGCCCTAATGATCCTAGGAGCTACATTGTCTGGGGCACTTTGTGCCCCTGGTAGGGTCTCCCATGACAAATTGGTCTTAGGTGAAGGGTGAGACAAAGAACGGTTCAGAGGATCTTTCATGGATGAACTATCAAGGAGTCGGAGTACCCGGCCCGGCGGGTTACCGGGGTCCCACCCTGGAGCCAGGCCTGGGGTTGGGGCCCGTGAGCGAGCGCCTAGTGGCCGGGCTTTCCCCCATGGGGCCCGGCCCGAACCACATACATGGGCTCATCCAACTGTGGACCCACCACCCGCCGGAGGAACAT